GGACAGACGGACAGACGGACGGACAGACAGACATGGCTTAATCGATTTCTTTTTTCATCCTGATCATTTATGTATACATTTGTCTATATCTATCTCGATTCGTTTTGGCTGTTACAAACAATCGTTATGTGAACAAAATTAATATACCCTTGTGCACAAGTGCGCTCGGGTATAAGAAAATCCTACAAGAATCAGCCTCCAGAAGCTCTGCGGCGAACTTTTATTGACCAGTGTTATTAAATGTAGGTAATCAAACCTTCCTGATTGTTGGATTACCTCGTCACATATTCTTCAATAATTTTAAGATGAATAAAAAATATAGCAATATGAAAAGATAACTCGATAACCTAGCAGGTGTGAATACCTACATAATTTAAAAATACATACCAAATTTTTCAGACCATTTTTTCAGACAAGTTTTGAATTTTTTCAAATTGTTGGTCTCTAAGCAGGCAGATCGTTGATTTTTTCGACAAAAATTCTTAATTGGCAAAATTTATTTGCATGTGAATCTTCAAAAAAGCGGCGGAAAACCAGTCATTGGAACGTTTATTTAACTCAGCAGCATAAACGCTGATAAATGGACCCTGAAAAGGATGTACTTCTTCTGTAATTGATAAAAATTTACATAGAATCAAACTCGTTCTTATTTTTAAATTTTTTATATAATTTTTAATTTTTTTTATATTTCACATCGCGCACTATGATATTTAAAATAAGTACCAGTTTTTTCTTGCTCCTTTTCATTCTTCTTCGCTTTGACCGGAAAGTATGAAGAAAAACCGGAGAGTATTAAGAAAAACGAGAGCGTAAAGCGTGTTTCCCTTCTACTCTTCTCGCTCTCTTTTTTATAAAATGCGTGGTGATTTAGCAAAAGTTCAAACTGTAGAAAAACAAAGAAACTGCGCTCATATTATGTTCCTCTTACCATAATCAGCTAGCTAATGGTTTGAAATAAAGTTGCTTTTTGTTCATAATGCACTGCGAATAATGGAAAAGGAATACATGTTAACCTAAGAACCAGTAAAAACTTTTATAGTCACCTGCGATTGTGGATATATTCTATTTGTACTGCATTCATGATTTAAAATTATTTTTACTGTTTTTGAAGCTTTGAAGCCCCTTTTGTAAATAACTAGCCGGCCACGGATGCGCGAGGCTTCGCCACGCGCTGAATGTATGCATATGAATGTACCGTTACGTATTTGGAGAAATAAATCATATGTCACCATGTACTTCGTTTATTATATACATAAAAAAATCTTGTCTAAATCCTTGCAGTAGCTTGGTTAAAATATCTCGCCTTTCCTTTATACTATATACAGAAGATTGTAATTTTAAATAGGTGGCAACCCTACTCAAAAAACTTAAAGTTTGTGTACATGCGAAAGCCATACACTTTCATTTAGTATCTCATTTTTTATCCAACGAACGGTGAAGATCTTATAGTTTTTAAACAGGAGGCAACCCTACTCAAAAAAATAATACATTATTACACATCCAGAGGCTACTTCTTTTCATTTGACAGTGACGGTGCAGAACTGACGCCTACGCTTATTAGAATTGAATATAGTAAGTAAGCGTATTTTATGTGAAGTTTGTGTTTCAAATAATTTTGACATAAGAACAATTATAGTGGGTGTATGTACCATACATACATATGTAGATACTAATTAACTTGTATATACATATGAGTAGTCCACTTGCAAACAGCGTTATGTGATTTTATAATAGAAAGCCATAAATTTGAAAAAACGACTACGACAACAAGTAACATTAAAATTGAATCTTT